GCCCTGGCTTTACCTTGATAAAACCTTGCTTATCTGGAAACCTTGATTATAGTGAAACAAACATTAGAAAAAAGACTGAAAGCTGGAAGACTCATGAGAATTAAAGTCATATGAATAAATAACAGCTATAAAAAGTGGGTATAAAAATCAAAAGTATAAAAAGGCACTAAAGCAGCAAAGAGACAGAAGTAGATAATTTGGCCTCTATAGTAGAAAAAAGCTTTTCCAAGAAAGGTATTGGGTCTTTGAGGATAAGCAGAAACTTGCAGATGAAAGGAAAAGTCATTCTAGACAAAAGAAATGTGTTTGAAAACATGCTTTAAGAGAGTTCTGTGTATTTATATTCTCTACAGAATTGTAGATGGTGCTGGAAACAAAGACTTCAAGGAAAAAAGCCTTTGCTGTCCGGCATAAAAAGCTGGGCTCTACTCATTAGTAACAGGAGAAACACAAACATACATTTTTAGCAGCAACATGGCATAATCAATTTAAAAAAATACACTTTCATAGTGGTGTGGATACACTCAAGGAGGCAAGATCAGTGAATAGTGCAAGCAAAGAATGAGAAACCTTGAATACAGTGGTAATGGGAAAGGAGATAGATGTATGGAATACTATAAGTACAGTATAAATAACAGGACTTAGGCAGGGGATGGACTAGTAGTAGTAGTAGCAGTAGTAGTAGTAGTAGCAGTAGTAGTAGTAATAGCAGTAGTAGTAGTAGTCGTAGTAGTACTAGTAATCTTTGAGTGAGAGTCTATGTACTGTTTTTGATAGTGAAGTGTGGCAGAATATGCCACCACAAAATATGCCATTTTGGCATAAGATTATTTTGAGCTAAAGGCACTTGAAAATCAGCAGATGCAAAAGAGACACTGCCCTCCCTGCACCAGGAGAAAAGTAGTATCACCGAAGGGAGAAGACTTCCACGTGAAAGATGCCCTCCCTGTACAAGCAGAGAAGAAACATTCTTGCTACCAGAGATGAGTGGAGGTGGAGAAAAACCTGTACAAATGGTCCCTGTTAAAATAACTTACCTTCCTTTATTCTCTTCATACATTTTACTTTTCCACAATTGCTACTTTTCGTTCAACCTACTATACAAGCATTTAGGTTTTGCCACATCTTTGGATCTTCATTTTCCTATGGGGGCTCCCATGTACATGGGAAAATCCGTTTGTCTCCTGCTAATTTATCTTATGTCAATTCAATTCTCAGGCCTAGCCAGAGACGTTAAGATGGTAAAGTTTTGCCTCCCATACAATAGCAAAAGGCACGCAGACAAAACGTCCTCCACCTTACGAGGACTTATAGAAGGTAATGCTTTCCCATCGAAGTGGGGAATGGGAAAAATGAAAAAAAAAAAAAAAAAAAAGCTAGCCAGTCATGAGTCTAAAAATGATCAATCTTTACTATAGTTCAACTTAATAGTTTTACAATTGTAATTACAAATAACTATTCCATAGCTTATTTTTAAACATTTTTTCATAAATATCCTAACAGAGATACAGTCTTCGAAAAGCTCAAAAGTTTCAGAGACAAGAAAACAAACACAGAAATACTGTTGATGGGGAGCCTGGAAAGGAGATCTACCTGGGGCAACATTACTGGGAAACTGCAAAAGTAAATCTATAGGGATGGCCAAGAGACATACGAAACATGTACAGAATTCTGCTGCATTGTCACAAGTGCCTCTCAGGGTTTCAACAAATGAAGAGCTACATCTCATGATTTCATAAGTTGATTTGCACTCCAAGAACATAACACCTTAAGTGAACTGAAGTTCTAAAACGAAGTAGAACTACTCCAAAATATTCAGCCTTCTCATCACTCAAATTCCCTGACTGTTCAACTTTCCCGTGATTCTCTACTTTTCTTACCACCCATCGGCCCAACATAAAATTAAAATAATTTATACATTTGGGATAGTTACTAAGTCCCACGTTTTTAATTTTTAAATGCTGAGTTTAATATTTTACATTTAAATAATTAAAAAGCAAAATCAAATTAAATTTTTACTAGTGATTTAGTGGACTTCACTGAGGAAAAAAAAACAAACCATATATATACAGTCCTAATTCCCACAAGTATTAGGAATAAATATGTCATAATAAAATTAATATGAATTTTTAGAAATTTCCTCTTCAAAAATACATTTGCATGTTCTGAGTGTGCTACTGCTGTCAGTGCTGTACTGACTTTCCAGCTTTCTTCTCTGAGTGGGATAAGAAACCTGCCATTTTCACTAGGAACATTAAAACTCAAGAGACACAACAATTAAAGCTTTAATTTTGTAGTTTAATGTTTCACACTACCTCTACTTCACTTTCTTTGTCATTCCATTTCAAAGAAAGAAGGCAAACCTGGGGACTGTTAAAAAGTAAAAATCAAAGCTACAATGTTATTTGAGCTCAAAAAGTGCTGTAGTTTATAAAATTGAGAAGGTTTTTTTTTTTAATTAATTTTTATGCTTCCCAAAGTGTGTATCAATTATATAGTTATGAGTAATGAATGGCATGAAACAAGGTCCCAACGTTTTCAAATTTTGTTTTTAAAATATATTACAACATCACATTAAAAACAGTAGAGGAAAACAAGCAACCAGGATAGAACTACTTTTTTCCAACTCAACAGTACTTAGCTTTACCTAGAATTTTCGTATAGTTGATGTTAACTTCTTCTGAACGCTTTCTGACTAGTATTTTACCTTATGTATTCTTTATAGTATTTCCATATAATTTTTACCTAGACCTATTCAGAGCATAGCACAGACAGGGCAGCACAAGCAACTGACACCTTTGTTGGCAGCACAATGTTTTTTCATCCAGTTTATGAGAGAATGAAAAGAATGAAAGTGAAAATTTTACTTAGAGTTAATTACTGTAGCTCCAGGTAATCTCTTCAGAAGTCCCCTGCTTCACCATCTCAAGTTAATCAATAATGGCTGGTTTATGACTGGAAACCACTTACCAAATTGCCTGAACAAGAAAACTTTTTAAAATAACAATTTGCAGATCTGTCCAACAACTTCAATAAAGTCGAATTTGCTTTATTTTTCCAAAAATTATGTTGTCAAGACAGAGACTCTTTGTAAGTGTAAATGTATGATGTATTATGAATTGATTTTTAGTTCCTGTTACAGAGTTGTTAGACAAGTTATTAAAGTTTAAGAAAATTTGAATTCTAAATTTCCACCTGGTAACATATATGAAATATTTTATATTTTCAATATATACTTATATTTTGCACACTGTATATAAACTAGATTAGAAATGTTTTAAGTCATTTCACTGTGTGTATATCTGCACTATATAAAGAAAAAAAGAAAGGCAGAAAGACACTTTCCTTCTATCTTCCATAAGAAAACTTCAAAAATGTTTCTTTTTAAAATTGAATTTTTCAAAAGGGAAAAAATATCCTCTTTGATGGGAAATCACTTGTTTTAATAAAAGGTAAAACACTGCCATGTCAACCACAAGGTGGTGCTATAGTTCCATGCTGGCACTGATATTTTAGGAGTTAATCGATACAGTAGTTTTTTCCATTATAACTATAACCTCTTAATTTTTATAAATGTACTTCTCTCACAATCAAAAAAAATTAAAGCTAACATGCTTCATTAATTCTGGAAACATTTACTGAAACTCTGTTAAATTCAAAATTGTATGTTTCTGTAGGCTATCATTTTAAAGTTCTGACAACCAAATATTTATTAGAATATTAAAAATGCGGCCAAGCATGGTGACTCACCCATGTAATCTTAGCACTTTGGGAGTTCCAGGTGGGCAGGTAGCTTTAGCTCACGAGTTCGAGAACAGACTGGGCAACATGGAGAAACCCTGTCTCTACAAAAATACAAACATTAGCCGGGCATGATGGTACAGGCCTATAGTCCCAGCTACTCAGGAGGCTGAGGCACGAGAATCCGCTTGAACTTGGGAGGCGGTGGGTGCAATGAGCCGAGATCACGCCACTGCACTCCAGCCTGGGCAACAGAGTGAGACCCTGTTTCAAAAAGGAAAAAAAAAAAAAAGGAACACTAAAAATGTTTTCTTAAAAGTGATTTCTTACGCTGTTTCAAATTCACACACACACAAAAAATTTAAGTGATTTCTACTCATATAACAATATTTTATATTTGACAGTGTAATACCTAATTATACATATATACCATAAATAGATGGATAAATAAAATATAATCAGATGGTCCATATAATAATAAAAAAATACACTTTTTCCTTCCAAATAATGAAGTCAATTTTCTTGAGGAATTTCCGGGATTACTGCTACACTTTTATCTATAAGTTTTAAAAAAGATAATTCATATAGTAATATTAAAAATAAATTTCATTTTTCCATTGATTTAACTTCAGCAAAGATTTCTCTCTCCAAAAAATGTGTAACTTTTCATCATTAAAAAAACAAAACACGACACCTCAGTGTATCTTTTAATGTTGGCTAGAATGGCTATATTCTCTGTCTGTTATACTGGTCTTAAAAAGTGCTACACCGCCAGGATGGTGGCTCACGCCTGTAATCCCAGCATTTTGGGAGGCCAAGGCGGGTGGATCACCTGAGGTCAGGAGTTCGAGACCTGCCTGACCAACATGGAGGAACTCCGTCTCTACTAAAAATATAAAATATAAAATTAGCTGGGCATGGTGGTGCATGCCTGTAATCCCAGCTACTCGGAAGACTGAGGCACAAGAATTGCTTGAACCTGGGAGGTGGAGGTTGCAGTGAGCCGAGATCAAGCCATTGCACTACAGCCTGGGCAACAAGAGCGAAACTGCATCTCAAAAGAAAAAAAAAAAAAAATTCATACAATAGAGCACACTAAAATGTTCAACACATTTCTCACGGTGAGCCTTGAGACCACCGTTCTCTTAGTCTAAACTTGAGGACCACAGTCCTCAAGCCCGTTTCCCAGTACAAAAGGGGAATCTTAACCTTAATTTCTCAATGTTAACTGGAAAGGTATTGCTGTTTTTGACCAAGCATGAAATAGCTGTCTTTATATTTAATTTTCAATGAGTATTTTTAACTGTTTATTATAATTTATTCATCAGTACAGATGCGAAGATGGCATATATGAAAGCCTCCTGGGTATAATACACAAGTCCCATTTGGAATGTTTCCAACAGGATGTAAACCATAGTCCTCAAGCCTGTGCTTTAAAAAACATTACTTAGCACACTGCCAACAAATGTCAACACAGAAATACAGTGCTGTAATGACTTCACTCTGTAAGAGAAATAGACTGGAACATGAGTTTTTCCTTAAAAAAAAAAAGTGACACAAGGTAAAGCAGTATAATCATTGCTCAAAAATATTAAAAGATTTATTCAATAATGAATGCAAAAATTCATATACCAAATGGAATCCAAATTGTCAAAAATAGCAGTATATTTAAATTGTATAAAGAATTCTTAAAATATACAATATGTATAGTAACCGAAGTCCTAGAAAAGTTCATGTAGAAAATCCTACAAGTAGTGATTTGGACATTTCAATAACTCTGCAGTTTCTTCAAACCTGAAATATAATAAATAACATATTAAATCAATAATTCATAATAAAGCATAGCATTTTAGGTGTTGAAATTATGCTTTTTAGCCTAAAATAAATTTGAGTATTTTTCTTATCTATAAGTACAGTTACTATGAATAAACTTAAGTATGCTCAGAGGGAGGAAAAAAAGAGTCAATTATGAGTCTTGTATTCTTGGAGTGTAAGTTAAGTACTTTTTGCATTTCAAAATAATAATATAATTTTCTATAGTAGTAGGTTGCATAATCATCTTATATGCAATTTCATTTTATATTTCCTTTGAACTGCTCTTTAGAAAAATCACATCATTTGTACTAGACAAAAACATCATTTTTATATCTTATCAATAACTCGCTGAAAAACACCAGTGATATTTTCACAATACTGAAAATGTCTCCAAACCATCCATCTACATATATTATTTAATATTTTGATAAATCAGTTATCAAAAATAGATAATACTCTTGATTAGTTACCAACCAAAAATATCTTTGTACTCTATCTGCAGTTAATTCCATTAACAATTCCAACAAGTTTTACATCACTTGTTGGAAACTAAAACAGTGACTCATCTCACAAACACATAACTGTAGGTGGATTTATTATCCAATGGAGTCCTGAAGGAAATTCCACACCTGACTGAGAGACTTTTAAGGTTTGAAACACACATGCACATTCTATATATACTGTAATCCAATACAATTCCCTATGGAGAAATGAATTTCTGTTGCCCCTTTCTGTTACTTACATTTTTTTCATCCTTTCCATTTTCTGGATTGTTGTTTCCTTTAATTTAAAAAGCAACAAATTTAGATGACTTCTCAAAGTAAACCATCATCAAAGATGGACCGAGAATGTACAAAATATAGTTTGAAACATTGCATTAAGTACTGTTTACTTATGAAAGCATTTTGAGAGACTAAGATTCAGTTTTGCTATTTTTCTTGCCAGCAATATTTACAACTAAAACTAATGCTTGCTCGTTTTCCTAATTTAGAAAGGAAATAATCTAAGCATTTTCTTACCTCTGAAATCTCATTCAAACCACAGTAATTAATGGTAGAGGCTCTGGGAGTTGAATCTGATGATGCCGTACTATAACCAGAGGACAGAGGAATACTTGCTGGCCTCCCTACTTTGTTTTTTCTGTCTGTGAAGAAATTAAGTTTTAGATTACCTTTTCCTTTCACAGTAGAGTCAAATATCTAAAAATGTTATTTATAGATGGAAGAAAAACATACTATTTTAATTAAACATGGCTATCGGTATAGATCAAAGAGTTTTTAGTACTATTTTAAGGTAAAAGCTTTCATATGGAGATCTAGATGTTAAAAATTGCCCAATAAAAATTACAAAAGGCAGTATTATTATCATGGTAGCAATCAGTTTGAAAAACAGGCAAGTTAATTATTTATTTTAAAATATAACCTATTGAATCAATCATGTATATTCTTTTCTTAAAATGGTGACATCTACATTAAATAATTCGTATCCATGGATTTGTCATGATGCTTTTATTCAGCAACATTCAAGCATTTCACAAATTTTTTTACTACTGTTCTGTGGCAAGTGACAACTATTCCTATAACTGACCATATATATCTTTTAAAAATCAAGAAACATTTAACTTGATTTAACACATATGAAAATAAGTAATGCAAAAATTTAAGATCCACAGATTTCTTCTTCTAAAAAACTGAAAAACCTAACATTTCAAATATCCTGATAATATTAATTTGACAAAATGATGGCATCTCCCCTTCAAAAATATCAATTAGAGAAGATTATGGATAATGTAATAAATCCTACAAACCCTGTGTTTTAATCAGAATACATCTGGCTGCAAAAGCAATGCAAAAAAAAAAAAAAAAAAGGATACTCATTTAAACTGGTTCACATAAAGACAGCTTTATTGTAAGTCTACACAGACAACCTTAATTGGGGAACAAACTATTACCATGTGAGAACTGAAACAACTAGAAGACTAATTTTCATCTCTCATAGAATCATAGTCTCTTTTGCCTACTTCTGCCATTTGCTCCATTCCTCTGCTCTTCTCTGTAGAATGGCTTTCTCTGCTGACTCATCAGCATAAACTTCCACCACATGGCCAGCCCAGCCCAGGCTCAATATCATTTGACTAACTGACTCGTGGTGTCCTAATTCCAAATTCTAAGAGAGAGAATGAAATTTGACTCATCACACTTTGAATTCCTATTCTCTGGGTTAAGTGTCTACTCTTAATCCAGTTAGCTAAGCCTGGAGGTCAAGATTACAGGGTACAACTCTGAAGACTACATAAACTCAGATCTTTTAGCAGGATCTGTGGACAAGAGGTTATTTTAAGAAATAATTTGAAATTAGGCAGGAACTATATCTACTACGCACTAAATCTTGGATTACTTTCTGTGGGTACAGATAGTTGTCCTGAACATTTCTTATGTCTTTCCAAAAAGCGGTGGGGGCTAGGAAAAGGAAACAGGTCCGGGAAGACAGATAAAGGGTGAAGGAAGGGCTCTCTTTGTCTTCTACTTTGGGGTGCAGACTTTGAGGTGTCTAAGCTTATTCAAGAGTGTGCCTCATGGTGGGAGAAAGCTGGTATTTGGCAGGCTGGCAAGCTATTCATAGTTATTCCTATAGAGGATTCCAGAGGTTACAGAGTGGACCATTACAGAACACCAGCTCTATTTAATAGCCAGATCAGTTAAGTGCATATTAATTTCTGTAATTTTTATTATTGCTTTCTTGAACCTTTAGTAAAGCCTTACTTGTTTAAACATTAATAGTTTCTTAGCTATGCTATAGGGGATTGAGAAAAGAATTGGTAACTGAGTTCAGGTTGGAAAGGAATGGGGAAAGGCAATGGCCACTGACACAAGGACCCTGACACCAGTTGTTATGTACTTCAGTAGTGACTGCTAAGAAGTCTCTGTAAAGAAAGGGATTCTTCTACTTCTAAGGGTATGGGACATGAGATCTTCTAGCCAACTCTTACCACGTAATAATTAATCTTTCATTGCCATCTTTGGAGGCTCATCACCTTATTCACTAAGGAAATAGTAGGGTTCTTTACCATTTAATAATTTGTAAGCCAATATTTCTAAATCAAGGACCAATGTATGTATCCAACTTATTTGTAGATATTTTGTCTTAAGGGTTTCATACATAATTTATTATATTCAAAAGTGAACTCATTATTTCTCCCAAACCTTCTCCTCCTCCTGAACTTTTTATTTTATTAAAGAGTAACAATCATCTACCCAATCACATGAGCTAAACACAAGTAGTCAGTCTTAACTTTCTTACTCTCCTTCACTTTTTGTATCTATCAGGAATCAAGGCATATCAATTTTAACATCTAAATTTCTCCCAAATAAATTACCTGCTCTTTATCCTCACTATCATTGCCTTAGTAGAGACCCTCATTATTATTCTGAAATAATGACTACTAAAATACTCTTCAAATTATCCTTGCCTATCTTACTTTCCTAACAAATCACTGTTCTGCTTTGATGGTAACCTTTGTGAAACGCAAACCTCAGAATATTAGCCTTGCTGAAAATCTTTCTACGACTCTGGGATAAACCCCATGACTTGATCTTTCTAGTCTTCTGCTTCAGCTTCCTTCAGGTGCTCACATGTACCCTTCCTTCTAGTCACACAGGAACAAACCACACTCTTCTGTGGTGCCACACCTTTCTTAATATTTTTTTCCTCTGAGGAGAAAAAGGCACAAAACAAAGCAAAACAAACAAGCAAACAAAAAAGGAGCACTAACAGTTGGTGTCCTGTCTGGCAATTAACACCTAAGCTACTGTACCCTCTAGTGAACATAAATAATTTCACAAAAAATAACACCACATGAGGTCACTTCATTGGCATAATTAAACAACACGCCCAAAACCATTATTCATGTCCAAACATAGACAAAACAAGGGCACCATGTAACCACATAAATGACCGGATATAGCCCCCCCTTGCCTCATAAGAGTACTTATTTTATGCTAAAAATTTCATTCTTACCATCAATCATCAAATTGCTCCTGCTCCCTGACAGCACCCGTAGGCTTTGCTTCCTCAAACCCTCTCCAAAATTATCCAACACAAGTCCAATCCTTAAAAGCCTCTGCTAATTCACTCTTACCAAGACATTAAGGTGCCTTACAATTCCCCATGGAACACTGTATTCCTGATAAAGTCAAAACAAATCTGGAACCTCACAAAAACTATTCCTGATTTAATACGATTCTAAACCCAGAGTGATAAATTATTGCTGTCTGCATCCAAATGAAATCAAATCCTATTCCCAAGTAGCATGTATAAGGTATAATGTGTAAGTCTTTATAAACTTGGGTCTTTTAATTAATGTAGATCAGATCATAAACTCTATGAGACCAGGTATTTACCCTAATCATAATCTGTAATCCATTGCAGATAGTGGCCTGTTAATTACTTTCAGTCCTGGCACAGTTGCTGAAATTTAGCTATGTGAGCCTGGACATGGTAACTCACACCTGTAATCCCAGTACTTTGAGAAGCAGAGACAGGAGGATTGCTTGAGCCCAGGAGTTCAAGACCAGCCTGAGCAACATAGCAAGACCTCGTTTTACTAAAAACAATAAATAAATAAATAAAAATTGTCCAGGTGTAGAGGCACGTGCCTGTAGTCCCAGCCACTCAGGAGGCTGAGGCAGGAGGATCACTTTAGGCCAAAGAGTTAACGTCTAGGAGACTGCAGTGAGCTATGATTGCACCACTGCACTCCAGCCTGAGCAACAGAGTAAGACCACCCTTATCTCAAAAAAAACCTAGCCATGTGTTTTCTAAATAGGTTAAAGGTATATTCTATAATCATGTCATTAAAAAAAAAAAATAAGCCTGAGCACGCAAAATCAAACTTGCAAAAGGCAATGTTTTGCAAATCATAAGCATTCAATATTTTTTCAGTGAATAAATATTTAAACTCTACTATATGCAAATACTGGTGATAAAAGCACAGATACACTTTCTGTGTGCTAGACAGGCAGACCATAAGATAAAGTTTTTGCTCTCGAGGATCTTATACTCAAGTGTTAACATTTGTTGAATAGATAAATGAATGGATAAATAAAACAGGCAACATTTTACCAAATCTGAAATCTGCAGTCTATAATAAATTTAGTTGCCTTAAATAGCATCTCAAATAATTATATTTAATAACCTAATCACTGAAATTGTTCTTTGTGCAATGATATTGATATGTGTTCCAAATATGCAGTGGTTAAGAAAAAACTTCAGATCAGTTGCCTGGATTCAAATTTGATCTACCATTCAATAACTGTGTGACCTTTGTCATAGTTACTTAATTTTGCTGTACTTCAGTTTCCGCAACTGTAAAATATAAAAATAGTACTCATCTTGCACGGTTACTTCAGGAATTAAATGAGTTAATATAGTAGTTAGAATAGTGCCAGGCACACTGTTAGTGCTAGAATATATATTGTTATTTTGTTGTTACACATATAGTAAAGCTGAAAGATTTTATAATGTTAACGATCCAGATATTAAAAATTTAACTTGATGAATTCTCAATTGGACAAAACATCTCTTCTATGGATATGATTTAATCATAGACACGGCACAAAATTTAGATCTGTCTTTTAAAAAAATATAAGAATCAAAAAAAACAAAGCTGTCACTGCAAAACAGAAATCTTACCCTTGCTGCTCAGTCACACTAAGCAAAGTATCATTAGCCTAGTAAAGTTACGTAACCAGGAAAAGACCTGTTCTAATATCAGATCTTTCCCATTTTATCATTATCAGTGAACCATTCACATGGAAGAGGTTTGCAATACTTTATAGGTTACTGACAAATGTGTTTTCTTCTCTTACATATTATTATTTACATATGAGAAAGCTACTACCTACCTAAGCTTAAATTTAAAAACTTGGAGGTCAATTTTAAAATTCTAGAACACTTGATTATTCTAGAATGATTAAAACAGTAAAATATCTCTAAACATTTTCAATTTTGTACACTGAAATTTATTTACCCACTGTGTTATGTAAAATAAGTAGGCTGGCTTCATAAGCAATTCTTGGCTTTAGTAGTCTATAGGTTCATTATTTTCTTTGTTCTAGGAGCTTTGCAATTTCTAAACAATGAAGCTTAAGAATATTAAAATTACCAAATACCTATAACAATCATTTTTCTGAAAACTCATCATACCAATTCTCATAATGTTTACAAACTTACGAGGATTCAGAAGGTCCATGTTGCTACAAGAAGCGCAGTCTTCATTAATTTCATTAAACTCTACATATTCATCATTCTGGAATAACACAGTTAAATATTTAGAATGAAATAAAAAGGAAAACCCTCTCATTTTATATTCTTACTACTGAGCATAAAATATAAAGGTAGCATGATAAATGTTTAAATATTTTTAATTTTTTATTAAAGCAATGCATATACTATATATTCCTACATATAAGAAATGTTTTAAATATGGAAGCAGATAGCAAGCTTCTTGAATCTATCAACTTCACTTTTTAGGAAGGAAAGACAGACCAGAAATCGAAATCCTGAGTAAAAGAAACAAATTTCTCAGATTTGATAAGGCAATGATAAATTTGGTAACTATTCTATGAAATTCACAATGATTGAAGTAAATGAGTGAAAAAAAGACAGGAAGAGTTATCAATATCTTCTGTATCTTTTCCACCCTACGAAAATAGGTCATTTGTACTATTAAAAGATACAAAATAATTCTAAGCTTTTCATAATATCTATCATATTCTTACCTCATTTTAAGTTCTTCAAGCATCATTAACACCTGTAAAAGCTCAACTTACAAGTTTTTCAGATCGTCTTATTCAATGAAGAGAGAAACAACAGCCACACCACCATTCAGGCTATATTTAAACAGGACTTCATTCTAACTAGACATTTTCTCATTATTCAAATATTCTCATATTTAGCATTTCCAAAAAAATACACATACAACAATCAAAAAATTACTGTGTTATATCTGAGATATTTTATAAATGTTAAAAGAAGAAAATACCTTTTTAGACAAAAGCATTTCTGTTTCAAGAAGAGTGACACGACTGAGCAGATTAGTCCAGGTGTTTTCATCTACCATCACATTTCCTTTCATTTTTTGTTCTAAACAGTCTAACCTTTTCTCTATCAAAGTCAGCTCCTTAAGCTTTTCTTGGCATTCAGCAAGCAGAGTCTGTAGTGCAGTAATCTCAGGATTAACATTTATATCCTAAAAAGATTAGAGAGATTAAAAATAAAATTAAACAAACTAAAATTTCTTTAAAATTGATGTTTCCCACTTCCACAGTGTTATCTCAAGAGTTAGGAGAGACGGTCCTGCTTGAGAGTTAAAAGGTTTATCTCTGGAGGGAGACTACTTGGTCACTTAAACTAGGTCTGAGACTTATGATCTTGATGCCTCCATTTCCTCATTTAAAAAAAAAAAAGAGAGAGAGATAAAAGAAGTATCTACTTCATATGATTCTTCTGATAATGAGTTAATTTGCATGATTCTTTTGATACCAGCTAGTAAAATAAAACTATTATTAACTAGCTTCTTGAAACAACACCTAGCACAAAGCTAAGAGGAAATGACTAAAAACAACACTTAGTGCACTGAGATTATTCGGTTTGCCATGTAACAGGAAGTACGTCCAATGGCCATCTGGTAGTTTTTGTAAGTGCCAACTGTATATTGATATACTGAGATATATAGAAGTCACAAAACATAGAAACATAGAAAAAGAAGTTTTAGCAGAAACAACAGACATCAGACATATTGGTGTCTGTGGCAATTAAGAGTAACAGAAATGTTTATCATTATTATTATTATTATTACACTTTAAGTTCTAGGGTACCTGTGCACAATGTGAAGGTTTGTTACATATGTATCCATGTGCCATGTTGGTGTGCTGCACTCATTAACTCCTCATTTACATTAAGTATATCTCCTAATGATATCCCTCCCCACTACCCCCACCCCATAACAGGCCCCAGTGTGTGATGTTTCCCTTCCTGTGTCCAAGTGTTCTCATTGTTCAATTCCCACCTATGAGTGAGAACATGCGGTGTTCGGTTTTTGTCCTGCTGATAGTTTGCTGAGAATGATGATTTCCAGCTTCATCCATGTCCCTACGAAGAACATGAGCTCATCTTTTTTATGGCTGTATAGTATTTCATGGTGTATATGTGCCACATTTTCTTAATCCAGGCTATCATTGATGGACATTTGGGTTGGTTCCAAGTCTTTGCTATTGTGAATAGTGCCAAAATAAACATATGTGAGCATGCGTCTTTATAGTAGCATGATTTATAATCCTTTGGGTATTTACCCAGTAACGGTATGGCTGGGTCAAATGGTATTTCTAGTACTAGATCCTTGAGGAATCGCCACACTGTCTTTCACAATGGTTGAACTAGTTTACAGTCCCACCAACAATGTAAAAGAGTTCCTATTTCTCCACATCCTCTCCAGCACCTGATGTTTCCTGACTTTTTAATGATTGCCATTCTAACTGGTGTGAGATGGTATCTCATTGTGGTTTTGATTTGCATTTCTCTGA